GTTGAAGTGTCCGTCACTTCAGTAGAAGAGCTTAGAAGTTCTTAATACAGCGTGTTCTACCTTCTGGAAACGTCGTTGCTTTAAGCTAATCTTATTACGTTCGGCCGTCTTGTTATGTGCCTTTTAGTATGCGCCGGTGAGCTTGATTAACTCTGTTAGTTATTTCTGTGCAGTTTCGTCTGGTTGTAATTTAGTTAGCATTAGATTAGCTTCTTATTTTTTTATCTTAAGTTAAAGCCCAACTGGAGGCTTCGTGTAAACCCGAGAGGGGCCATTTCTGAATATTTCGAGTTGAACAAAAGGGTAATTTAACCCTTGTTTGACTTGTTATTCAACCATTAGAATTAGCGATTATTCGCTAACAGTTCCTAAGCATTCTATCTTCTAAAGAGTACAGGTTTAGCTAGAACTAGCTTAGCCATTAAAATGTGTATTACAAAATTATTATTATTATTATACTATTATCTATTATCATCTCACCTGCCACCTTTTTCGAATGTTGGTAGGGTAGAAAAACTGCTGTAGTTATGGGCTCGGTTCGAATCCTAGAGAAGGTTTGTAAGTGTATAGTGTATTTGTGGCATGGGACGCTTAAAATACTCTCCAGTCAAAACAGCATGTCAAGAAATTCGTGGCAAGGCAAGAGGGTCAGGAGACCCTCGTATCCGTATCCTAGAGATGCAGTTTTCCCTTCTCGTGGGTGTAATTCGATCGGCCTCTGTGGTGCGGCCTGGATGACGTTTTCAGTGATGGAACGGCTTAATAAACGATAGTTTTTGGCCATTCCAGACGAATGCTTTAAGTTACAAATGTTCGGTCAACAACTCTGTCACCTATTCGTCTGTTTTAAAGATGGATAGCTCCATGAACTTTCCAAACACAGCTAACACTCTAATGGGTATTACCTCTGAATGCGATCAGTCTTTTTCAGACCAGAAATAAGTATCGATATCGATCCTACTTTCTCTGAGATAACTACCTCCACAGAAGACCAGAACCATGGGTTAGTCATCACAAAGTGTGTTAACAGTATGTTAGAATACGGATTGTACAGCATAAACGGGATTGAATGACTGAATGTCTCATAACACGGAATTATCAAGTAGACATGCTGAGTAAGAAACACTAGCGTATTAAAATTCTGGAGCAATAAAAGACATATATTTATAGCATACTGTAATTAGTGCATAATTTTACGCTTTACGTCTACAGTCAGGACTTAATTAATAAAATTTAGTAGCTTAGAAGCCTCGTGGAAGCCCAACAGGAAGGAGGAACAAAAATAAACAAATTAAATAATAATTAACAATAAAAGTAATAAAGCAATTCATAATTAAAATAATTAATAATTGAAATATTGACAATTAAAATTCAGTAACATATAAAGAGATAAGTAAAAATTTAATAAATAATTAAATTAGTGGAAAATAATTAAAGAGTCAAACAAAATAGCCGAACTCGTCTTATTTAAGGGTCGGGCTGGAATTACAATTTCACTCAAAATCTTAAAAACAGCCCGACTGGAGTCCGGCTCAATTTAAGCCTTGAATGGACATTATAATTATGATTGATTTAAAGGGATGGTAGACCGTCAAAGACCCGTTCTTGTTCCAGCACACCACTGAAGAAAAAAGGAGGTAAAACGGTCAAAGCCTTGTAGCGATTTATATTTATTTTTAATAATCAATTTTATTTTATTTGTTATTCTTTCCTATAAGCGTTCATTCCCCTAATTGTCAGTGCCAGAATATTTAAATTTTGGCAGCGCGAGTGAAGGAATGCAAATTCCACCTTGAAGAAAGAGTTTAAAAACCGAGGTTCAGTAGGAAAGAGGAAGAGTTAGACTATTGCCGTCACCTTTGTTGCTTAAGCGTCTGGTTCGCGTGGCTTAAGTGCATTAACTTGCTGCCACTAGTTTTCGACGGGGGTTTAAGAAACGCGAATTATTCTGAGCCCTGTAGTTTCGTTCAACGACTTGTACATATCTTCAAATATTTGGTTAGTTCTTTGATTTCAGTTACCCCCCAAGCAGAGACGTAATTTGTTAGCGTCGAGTTGACACATTCTAAATTTTAAAGAGTTAATAAAAGATACTTTTAACCCTTCTTCCTGCAGCTACTACTCTTACAGTTTTCACACAGAAATTATCAAAGTGGACTCTACAGCCTCACTAATTTGAATAAAGAGAATGCTGCAAACAGTAACAGATTGTGCAGGAAATTTTAACGGAGACTGTAGGTGTGAAACAAAAAAAGGAAACTCCAACACTTTTTGACAGCGATTTTCTGTTGATATAATTCTAGCTATCAAGCAGAATGTGAGGGAGGAAAATTTCTTTCCCAAATTCGAGAATTAGCTGAAAACAAATGTAATGTTCTGTACAAGTAATAAATTTCGTTCCCCGTAGTTGGTTAGATCGTTCCAAAAATTTACAAGTGTTCTTTCTCCCAGGAAGTCACTAGTGCTCCTAAATTCATTGCACTTCCTGAAGAATGTGGACATGTGGGTAGGGGCATTTTTTTTTCCTTAAAGGCCTTAAGCTCAGATTAAGAGCTTGTTTCCCAGTGATAGAAAGGCATATATTGAGAAGTTGGGATCGATTTTTATTTCTTCCTTATTATTAGTCCAGAGGGCCAATTTGTCCTGAAGGACTATTATTTTAATTTTGGCATTTTGCATTCATTCACTATAAATGTCCGATTCACTTTTCAGATTGTTTCCACCCACTATTATCGCCCTGTATTATATTTAAAAAAATTAATGATGAAGAATCTGCATCAATGTATGTATGTTTCTCGCATTGTGATAAAACAACGGTACCTACAGCCATCCAGTTTTGAATAACGTATGTTCGGAATTTGTTTTGTTATTTATTTCATGTTTTGTCATACATTAACGAATTTTTGATTAGCAAACTCCACGATTTCAAAGCGAGAATGACAACACTGCACGGGAGAGAAACATTTGTGTCTCCAGCACGCGAGACTGTGTATCGGAAATTCTAAAGATATGCTCATTTTAAAATTATTTCTTTATATTGCCGTTGAACTGAATTTTATGGTTTAAGTGCGAAGAATATGATATTTAATAAATAAAGGTAATAGATTGGCAACTGGATGTTTTTGTGCCTTTCTCCATGTATATCGTGTGCGGGGATAATTTTCTTTGGAAAGGCTTTCAAAAAGACAATCTTCTTTTAGCCCAAATTGTCTAAAACAAAACAAAACAAAACAAAAAACTAACTTTGGCAGTGGTTTCATTGCATTTGTAATCGATTAAAAAATAGTTTCTTCATTTCTGTATCCATCTGGAATCATTTCGAAACATACAGTGAACCCTCTGGTGGCAGTTATCTTCCGCAGAGACTGTCACTGACAGTGATGAGTATTTCTTATAACATAAATAAATATAGGGCATCTTTTCTCCAAGGCGACCACTTTTTCATGAAACTAAAATTATCTGGAACTATGACTGGTCTTTCTGGGAAGAGGTTTTTTTTTTTTTTGTTTGTTTTGTTTTGGGTTTAAAAGCGAAAACTTTGCGTGAAAATTAAAATGTTTTGACAGTGCGTTATATGTTATCCTACAGAGCTCTACAAAACAGTGTATTTACTTTTTACTTCCTTGTACGAAGTATTGTAATCGCGAAAATTTTCGGGTGTCATATTTGAACGAAAATGTCCATTTTGACCGCTATCGAATGCAATTTAACGATGTTTCTGCGTGACATCTGTGCGTAAGGACAAAATAAAGGATCCTTTTCCCCCAAACGGGCTCCAAAAAAACAATTTTAAATGGATTCAGAAAATTTTTTTTTTTTTTTTTTTTTACGTCTGTACGTATCTCGCATAACTCAACGAGTAGCCTCAGAACGTTGAAATTTTGTATATAGGACTGCTATAACGTGTAGTTTTGCGCCTCCCTTTTTTGGTTGCAATCGGCTGCACCAAAAGTATATAAATATATGTACATATACATATATCCACTCTGTTACTCGGCTTCGTGAGCTCAGTTTATTATTATTATTATTATTATTATTATTATATCTTGGTAAATTGTGCAGCTTTCGCTTTAAAAAATGATTTAATTATGTTGTTCTTTCAGTGTTATGCCAGTGTGGTGTTTATGCGTTTAGTTAATCTGCATGCAATAGTTGTAGAATTATCAAGAATTTAAAGTTGTTTAAGTGCGGCCAAGCCTAATTTTTTTACCATAGCCATATTTTGTGTGTATTTGCAGTTTAGCAGAATAGTGAATTAAGTCAATTTCTGCACCTTCAGTGTCTTTTTGCCGAATAGAACCAGAAGTAAACTTTCAATTTTGTGCACTGAAAAAACTGCCTTCTTGCCCGCTGGTCGAACTGCTTGTTTTTGCGTATAAAATCTAATTTTAATCGTAAAAATTGTTTTCACTGTATTTGGTGTTTTATATTTCTCTATATTTTTCAATTTTTTATAAAGATATTTGAGGTTTTATGTATTTTGCCTGTCTCGAAGTAAGAACTGAATAATGGATGAGAAACTTCTCTAAGAATTTGGAAATAAGTTGAAATGAAATGCAACAAAAAACGCGGTAGTTTTAATATTCGTACAAGGAAGCTGTGGGGTACAATCAGATGTTTTATGCTGATATACTTTTTGTTGTTACATGTCATTCACATAAAGTATCAACTCGCAAAAAAAAAAAAAAAAAAAAAAAAAAACCTTTTCTACATCCACCTGCTTTTTGCATTTAATCGAGGTGCCAAAGCCACAGAAGCTGAGAGATTTGTGTACTGTATGGCGAAAAAGGCTAAGCCTCTTAGGACGGCTTAAAATTTGTTTGAGCTATTCAAACCGTCGAAGCATTGAACAGCTTGTTGAAAATGGAGAATTTGAACACCGAGAGATACATGATGATTGTTGTTTTTTTTTTTTTTTTTTTTTTTTTTTTTGTTTTGTTTTTTTGTTTAGTTTCTGTCCTAAACTAAAAAAAAAAAAAAAATATAATACCAGAACTTACGGGCCAACCCAATATTTCCGCTTGTGTATATGGGCTCTGAAGGACGTATAAAGAGGAAGACAATCTGCATCATTTCAAGCGCTTTCTCTTCGGTTGCGAAATCCTTCTAGTGAGAGCTTTCAGCGTGTTCTTATCTTCAAGGACATATTGTTTCACATCCGTTCGGTAATCAACCAAGACGACAGGCATCACAAAGCAACGAAGGTAAAATGATTGCTAACTACTGAGCATACAAATTACTTGCTTATAACTTTTGATCTCAAAATCGGAATTTCCACGACACGTGTTTTCCGATACGATATTTTAATAGTTTTAATACATAACTGGGTAACAAATTTTAAGGAGAAATTTAATTATATGATAACTAGAAAACAGCATACTTTTTTTTAAAAAAAAAAATCTTATTTTAAAATCTGTAAGCCATTTTCTTTAGATAATCCTTTTATTTGCATTTCATTTAACCTTATTTCCTCGAACTCCATTAGAGACATATTTCTCATTCATTTAATTCAGTTCTCACTTCGCGACGAGACAAAGATACATAAAAACTCAAAACATCTTCATTAAAAATTGTAAAATACAGAAAAACATAAAGCACCTAAGACAAATAAAAACAGTTAAAAAAAAAACTTTTACAGCTTTTACTCTAATTTTATTAGAGTTTCTACGCAAAAGCAAACAATTCGGTCAGCGGGAAAGAAAAAAGATTTTTCGTTACACAAAACTGAAAGTTTACTTACGGTCCATTCGGCAAAAAGACACTGAAGTTGGTACACAGACTGACTTAATACACTTCATTCTACTTAACTTTCAAATGTAAACAAATGGCGGCTTTTTTAGGCTTAGTGCTACTTCAACAACTTTTAAATTGTTCAGATTAACTAAAGGCATAAAATTCTTAACTGGAATAGAAGGAAAACATTATTTAATCACTTTTAAAGCAAAAATTTCACAATTTATGAACGCATAAGCATAAAAAAAGAAACCTACCTCACCAAGAAGGCTACCTGAAGAGGAAATATATATTTATATACTTTTGGTACAGTCGGTTGCAAAAACTTTCTGTGGCTACTTGTTTTTGAGTATCTCGCATATGAAAAAAAATCTCTTCTGATTTCATTTTATATCCATGCTACAATCCATTTTGGAGAAACGAGTCATCTATTCTGCCCGTACCTACAGATGTCACACACACACACACACACAAAAAAAAAAAAAAAAAAAAAAAAAAAAAAAAAAACTAGAGTGACATCAAAATGGATATTTTCGTTGAAAATATGATACCCCAAATTTTTCGGGATAACAATACTTCCTTCACTTTGCACAAGGAAGTAAAAAAAAATAGCAATACTTTTATATCAACGTACGTAAAAAGAAACTAATAATAATAATAATAAAATAAATATCTGAAAGCTTTCAGATTTTAGATTACGTCCAAAGGGGCGTTTTTTTAACATTTTGTGTGTTACCTTTATTTATTAACTATCATCTTCTTCGCACTTAAACCATAAAGTTCAATCAACAGCAATATCAAAAAATAATTTTAAATTAAGCATATCTGTAGAATTTTTGATAAACGGAATGGATAAAAACGCTTTTTTCTGTATAACGTTGCCATGGCTCGCTTTGAAATCCTCGAGTTTGTTAATCAAAAATTCGTTAAAGTTTTACAAAATCAATAATAACAAATTCCAAATTTCAAATTTGGACCTTCATATGCCCTTATTCGCAGTAACATTGCGTCATTCAAAATTGGATGGCTCTAGGTACCGTTGTTTATTGTAATGGCTATTGTAATTAAATAACTGTTGTTTTACCAAAATGCGAGAAATCATCATATAATCATCATCAATATCAATGAAAACTTGCCATGTCTGTCTCCTCTGAATGAGAACAGTATTTCCTAGAATAACATGAGCCTCACTTCTTTAAGGCGACCATCTCTACAGATGATTGAAATCTGGGTAGATCAAAGTTCCTCTACAGAGCCTGATACAAAATACCGAAATTTTCTAGTGAGTAGAAATGCCAGTCCAAAAGCACAGAATACACTGAAACTTCCCCAAGACAGTTGAAGTCCACAGTTCTAAATGATTTTTGTTCTTCATTAGAGGTGGTCACCTGACAGAAGGGAATTTCTGCAACTATATTTATTTACATACTGGTCATTTTGTAACGACGGTCGTTTACGGGAAATGGTGCTTGTGTGTTGAATAGTGAAACTTATAATTGAATAGCCACACCTATCAGTGACAAACACTATACGAAATTAATCAGTTAAAGGTAAGAAGCTTAGAACATTTCAAATGACAACATGACCTCCCATTTGTCGGGAAGCAAAGCGAAATCCATATACATGCATAAAGAACCAACACAGAAAGGTATCACGACAACGTTATTTCTGATAACATCCGGTGTAAAAATAATACTTAATGTAGTAAAAATACTTAATGCGCTTCGAAAAACAAGTGTAGTCTATCTTCTCGAGAAATACACTGATCGATTTTGAAACGACCGCCTTCTTGAGGCGACCACCACTTCTGAATGTATACGGTGTCTAAATGCGATCAGTATTTTTTAGAACGCAGTCGTCCGTAATGAACTTCACCTCTTTAAGGTGACAGATATATATATTTATAGATCTGAACCTAAGTGGTTGTCTGAGAGAGATTTTACAGTAAATTATTCTGAAAAAGAAATAGGATTTTGCTTTGCATATAACGGAGAATATTTATGCTGTATTCCAGTCAGAATTTATATTCACACTGCACGGCAATGATTTTTGTTTTAATCATTTGAAATGAACGTCGTGGTCACCGCTCCGAAAGACTTCTCTCAAATAAAGAAAGTTCGACATAAGTTATCACTTTTCTTAGGTAACGATGTTTACGGATGACGTTTGGAAGCATGTGTGCTCATATTAGAAAGGGTTTACGGTATTTTCTTTTCTGATGCCATATAGCCGAAGTTCATGTCGACTACAATGAAACCTCTGTAAGCCAAACGGTTCACGGGTCCAGAGGATTTTGGTACTGTGGACAGATAGATGAATCAGAAAATGTGTGTCTACTGGCAGCTTTTTTTTCTGTCGGGATGACATTAATCCGTTCGGCCCCACAGCCTTAGGCCGGATGTCATCTTCACGACCAGAAGCAACGAGAAGGTCATGTTTGCAAAAAATGTTGGTTATTTTCAGTGGTCATGTGCTGAAGGCGGATACCGCAGAAGAGTTAAATATATTTATAAAATCCAGGAATATTTACAAAATCGGAACATTATCTTTGATCCACCCTGAAAGGACTCAGAAGGGCCTGAAACAAGATCCGTGATTATCCTGAGTAATGCAGGATATCTGGTTACATTACTTTGTGATGTTCCTCCTTTTATCTATTAGCTAAGTGTTGAGGAACTTGGTGAACTACTAAGGGAATAATCGCTTAAGTCCAAAAACAAAAATAAAGACTCACAGAGGGCGCCTTTATCAGGGCGTGAAACAAAGCCTCCACTTAGGCTTAAAAATGTAAGAAATAAGAACTAACTAATGACTAAGTTGGCCCGTAATATTAAATTAACTAGCGAAGCTATCCAAAGGCACGTAATAGGTGGAGGACTATGTTATTCAGAATTGGATGGCTCTAGGTAAAGTTGTTTTTTCCACATTGTGAGAAACGTGCATACATTCATGCAGATTCTTCATTATTCAATTTCTTTAAATATTATACAGGGTGATAGCATTTGATGGCAACAATTTGAAAAGTGATATGCCGTTTATAGTGAAGCAACGCAAAATGCCGTTTCGAGACTAATATACCATCCGAGACTGACGTCCCTTTTGAGCTAAAAAAATATTAAATTTGTATAAAATATGAAATTTAACATTTTACACGTTCTTCTAATCTTCTATTCCCAATATTTATGTTTAGGAAAATTTTGTACTCGTTATAAAAAATAAAGAACAAAAAGTTAGACTTCCGTATGACAAAAGTTAACCGAAATATTTGATATTAAAATCGGGAATCAAATTTCAGGGGCCGTACACCAATCGAACAGCGAAATATTTGCAGTTTCGCGTACTAAAACAAGATTTTGTTCAGAAAAATGCTTATAATGTTACAAGATTATATTATAAGCATTTCTATCCAGATTATTAAGAATAATATTCAAATTTTTTTTTTCTTCCACATCCCCCCCCCCCAAAAAAAACATGGAGACCTTATTCACAGAATCTAGTAGAATTCGTATTCTAGAAAACACTAGGAGGTTTCAGTATTTGTATATAGTCTACTTCTAATATTATTTGTATTACTTAATTACGATTACCAGATCATGATTCTAAAGTAATAAAATTTCATGAGAATATTAATAACGTATTTTTAGACTTATAAAATAGTTGCGTGAAAATGCTTTCGGTACACCAAATGTAACAACATTATAAATAAAAGTGATCGCAATAAAGTATCACCGAATGGCACTTAAAAAATCAGTCTCTCGGATTTGGTTAATAAATAAATCTTTTAATTTTCTTATTAGCCAAACTCTCAGTGTTGTTGGTACTGTGGTGGCTGGCATCCATGTTGTGTGGTGTTTGGTGAGCTCGCTGTTAAAACGCTTATATCTTAGTTAATTTGTGAGATTAGTGAACGAAGGTGCTTTATTTCTGATCTATATGTGTTCCGGTTTGTGTTTCAGTGATTATTTTTGAATTTGAAGCTTTATTTTGCAAGATGTGAAGACTTTAAAGTTTGATGTTGGATTGCTTCCTCATTTGCATACGATAAATACTTTTTGGTCTCTATCTTTATACATATATTGTGCAAATTACTTTTGATGATTGATTTTGACTCTTTATAACTTGTGTTACCTGTATATTTAAAAACATAGTGTTTGGATGCAGATTTTATTAGCTATTTGAACTTAAACTTTTTTAGTGTAGCTAGGCCTAACGAGGCGGATATTTGTTGATAGTTGAACATCTTAGTGTTAAAGTGACTTAAGTCATGTGGTTTTATGAGTCTTTTACACCGGTTTTATGAGTCTTTCTGCCCACCGAAAGGAGGAAGTGTGAAAATTTTTTGGTGCACCAGAATTTTCATCTTCCACCCGTTGGACAAATTGTTCAATTTTCCAGATAAAATTGTGGGAAAACTTTAAAAATTATTTTAAGCGTTTTTAAGACTATTTGGCTGGCTTGTTTTGTGATATTGTGTTTATTTGATTTTATAGAAATTTTTGAGAGTTTTTGGGGTGACTTTTAATT